CCCATGCTGTCTATGCTCAGCTTGGAAAAGCATGCCACGTTCTTGTGGGTAGAACTAACTTGGACACTGAGAATTTTCTGAATCTTCCTAAAAAGCGAATTGCATTGCAATAATTAGAGCGGGGCAAAACTCTGAATCCATTCATCCAAACAACTTGGGGGTTTAGAATAATAATAGACCTTGATCCAAACCATCCCAATATGGCTTTTGCAAAACCAGTCCCAGAAATATCTGCTCCTGTTATTTATTTTATATTATGCTATATTAGGATTGCTGTGGTGCATAGAGGACCCAATCAGGGTCAGGATCCTAACATGCTGGACAGCCCTCCCCTAGACTTAGTCCCTGCCCCAAGGAGCTTAACCTCAGCAACAGCCTCCCTCAAAGACACAACCTGGCAGTGCCCACTTCCAAATGCTACAATATAGTTAAGAGCTATTGTGAATGTGATGCACGAGGATCGAGTGCCATCTAGTGCTGAGCTGGAAGAACTCCAGCCGCTGGTGGTTTCTGAATGATCAGCGTTTAAACGGGATGTTCTCGCTTTCTAGGGTGCAATTGCAATGGTCACTCGGAGACGTGCCATTTTGACCCAGCTGTGTACCAAGCCAGTGGTGGGGTGAGTGGAGGTGTGTGCGACGACTGTCAGCACAACACAGTGGGGAGGAACTGTGAACGCTGCAAGGCCTACTTTTTCCGCAACCATCGACAAGATGTCACCCATCCAGAAGCCTGTCTGCGTAAGTGGCATTCCCTGGGCGCTGGCCATCTCCTTGGGAGACCTGCCCCTTCCACTCCCAGCGACTTCTCCGTGGTCTCCTTGTCGCTGTTGTTTATGTAAGGTGTGTGTTTTTCAGCTTGCGAGTGTGATCCGGACGGCACGGTGCCTGGGTCCAGCTGTGACCCTCTGAACGGGCGCTGCGTTTGCAAGGAGAACGTGCAAGGGGACCGCTGCCATCTCTGCAAGCCCGGATTCACCCAGCTCACCAATGCCAACCCCCTGGGATGCCACAGTGAGTGAGCACAGAACTTACTGCCACTTTCTAGAAGATGCTTTAGTCAGACACATGTTACTGGGCTGAATATAGGGGCAACAGGGAATTCTCTGGCCTGGGTTATGCAGGAGGCCAGACTATGTGATCAAAGGGTCCTTTCTGGCCTTGAAACGAATGAAACTAGGAAAGCAGATGCACACATTGGCTTTAGGAGAAGGTGGGTTTTTAAGGTGGTGGGGGAACATACTTGTCTGGGTAAATTCAGAATCACTCTGAGCTTTCTGTCAGTGCTTGAACCTGGAGCGGAGGCCTCTTCATGGTGCGTCCCGGCTGCCTGGTTCCAGGGGCATAAGAGAAAGGTGGGTCCAACCCAGCCCTTTTATGTGGCTTCCCGGAGAGCTTTGAATGAGATCTGCCTCCAAGCCAGCCTCAGTGTGGGGCTTGCAGAACAAAACCCCGGCCAGTGAAGGTTTTCGAAACCCAGCCCTGCAGTGGCTGTGTCCTAGTCTTGAGGAAGAGAACTGGTTTTCAGCTTGGCAACAAGCAGGGCCCTCTGGGACCTGATGAGAAAACCTGTTCTGCTGAGCATCACCGGCTGGTGGTTCGGAGCGTGGGGGTGTCATGTACTCACACCCTTGGGTGCTCATTTGAACAGAGCCAGGACCTCCAGATCTACATTCGCCCAGGGCTAGTCATGTGCATCTCACACTGGATTCTGCAAATGCCTCAGAAGCTGCTAAAGACAGTGCAGTGCTGGGGTGAGGTGGCATCTGTGCTACAGCAGGTGGCAGTGTGGGCTCAGGTTCAGTCATTGGCATGGGGAACAAGATCAGCAAAAGGCTGGATGGAATTATCTCCATCATGCACTAGATAGGGCTCAGGAGGGGAGAACAGAGACCCCAGGGTCATAGAGACTTTGGAGTCATAACCTCAATGTCATAGTGCATTGTCTGACTTCACACTACTGTATTAAACCAGATAAGTAGCACTGATGTCACCAGACTCTGGCACAGGGGAGGCGGTATAGAAGCTGCCTCCTTTTGTCTCTGAATATTGGGGGAAAGGCCTGCAAAGACTTTGTCCCTGTGCTGCCATCCTGTGGATCCCTGAACTAACTCCCCTCTTGCACCCTTCCTGCATGCTCATTGCCCCTTTAAAGCAGACATCCCTTCAGGAATCTGGCCCCCCCAAGCAGCCTGACTATCCCCCTGGCCTTGGAGTGGTCATCGCCCGGTTCTAATGACAGCGCTGGCTGAACAAGTCTCCTTGCCTTTCAGAATGTGCCTGCAACATCCTGGGGACACGCCAGGACGCACCCTGCGACGACGAAACAGGAAGGTGCTTCTGCCTGCCCAACGTGGTGGGAGCCAATTGCGATCAGTGCTCTGCCAATCACTGGAAGATCGCCAGTGGCCAAGGCTGTCAGCCGTGCAACTGCGACCCTCGCAACGCCTTCAGCCCCCAGTGTAACCAGGTACAGACCCCAGATTTCAGCGTAGGGAGCTAGCGTGGCAGCAGTAGCATGGGAATCCTGGGCGTGGACAGGCATTGTGCTACTGGGTCATTGTATCGCATGTCACGCTGCCGAGGAGCACTTTGCGCTCCATCTGCCCCTTCGGTAGCTGCTAAAGCCCTGTGTCAAACTGCATCTAGACCAGCAGTGACCATGGCTGTGTAACAGCACTATTAGCTTGGTGCCGTGGGTGGGATGATGGGTCAGGAGACTAGGTTAGCACTTGAAAAACCTGGGTTCAGTTCCCTGCTGTGCCACAGATATCCTGTGTCTCCTTGGGCAAGTCACTTAGTCTCTCTGTGCTGCGGTTCTCCAAAAGGATTACAGCCCTCATCGAGGTGTTGTGAGGATGAATACATTAACAGTTGCGAGGCACTCCAATATTGCAGTAACGGGGACCATATAAATTCCACAGATAGGCAAATGGGGGGCAATAGTATTCATTAGAACTGGCTGAAATTTTATGAATTTCAAAATGTTGATGAACTTTCTATGGAAAAAAAATTAGGAAAAAAATTCAGCACAATTTTTTGCAGTTTCCTCTCTTTCCCCACAGTTTTTTCAGTCAATTCTAAAAATAATCCTGTTAGTGCTGCTGGCACTGCTCTTGGCTTGAATGGAGCTTTCTGAGAAGGGAACTGGGCTGGCTGGTTTATTAGAACAGCTGAGGATGTCACAAGCAGCAGCACAAGCTAGGGCCCCTGCTGTGTGCCCTGGTGACATGGTATTGTGCCATC